ATATTGGCATAGAATTTTAGAGTATATTTAGTTGCTAATGTTGTAGTTAAATAAATGCATATGTACATATGTACCTACCTGTAAATCGCAGTCAAAAAACTGGCTTACTTAAGTATGTACACACTTACACAGACATATACTTAAAAATCAATAAAACAATAAACAAATCTTAAATCAAAGTACAAAGACCAATAGCGGCATCTTTTTTCTCTTCCATTCTCCTCTCTTCCAGGAGTTGCATTCTTCGATAAGCAAGAGGGGATACTGACCTTCTGTCTGACATCGAGAGGCACTGTTTCGACGACAACTAAAACATTCTTGCCTAGTGAAACCGCCGCTGAGCCCGAGATAAGTGCAGATACGCCAGCCTATTATAGAACGCGAGACGAAGACGACGACGCTTCAATAAACAATAACTGCAAGCAAATATACGACGCAAACAAATCTGAAGCAGCTAGCGCAGTTGTAGTATTGCAACAGCCAACAGTAAGTAAATCTACTACAACCACAGAAGTTACGAAATCGGTAGCGAACAACAACGGCACAATCAACACTTTAACGCCAACACGCACAGAGCACGATTTGCGTTCGTTGGAAAACCAGTGTCTCACAGCGTCTGGTTTTGTACAGAAGGCCCTTAAAGTAAACCCAGGTGACTCACAGAGATCGGCCCCTCCCATAAGCACACAGAACAATCAGAGCAAAGCACTACTAATGGCATCCAGCGCTAATTTGAATAGTACAGGTGCTGCGGCGGCACACCCAACGACGTCCGAGAAACAGCCTTGGCCCAATACGAAGGATGACTACGAATTGCGCGATGTGATCGGCGTTGGCGCGACTGCTGTCGTGCATGCCGCACTATGCCTGCCACGTAACGAGAAATGCGCCATCAAGCGCATCAATCTGGAGAAGTGGAACACTTCTATGGATGAATTGCTCAAAGAGATACAGGCGATGTCGTCCTGCAATCACGAAAATGTCGTAACCTATTACACATCGTTTGTGGTGCGCGAGGAGTTGTGGCTGGTGTTGCGTCTGCTCGAGGGCGGCTCACTGCTGGACATTATCAAACACAAAATGCGCACTTCGAATTGCAAGCATGGCGTCTTCGATGAAGCGACCATCGCTACAGTTTTGAAAGAGGTACTCAAAGGTCTTGAGTATTTCCACTCGAACGGACAGATACATCGTGACATCAAGGCGGGTAATATACTGATTGGTGATGATGGTACTATACAAATTGCCGACTTTGGCGTTAGCGCTTGGCTAGCAACCGGACGTGATCTGTCGCGCCAGAAGGTGCGTCACACGTTCGTGGGCACACCATGTTGGATGGCGCCCGAGGTCATGGAACAGGATCATGGCTATGACTTTAAAGCCGACATTTGGTCATTTGGCATCACCGCTATCGAAATGGCAACTGGCACCGCACCCTACCACAAGTATCCACCCATGAAGGTGTTGATGCTGACGTTGCAGAACGACCCGCCCACACTGGACACCGGCGCTGATGAGAAGGATCAATACAAGGCATACGGCAAGACATTCCGAAAAATGATTGTTGAGTGTCTGCAAAAGGAGCCCTCGAAGCGACCCACCGCCAGTGAACTGCTGAAGAATGCCTTCTTCAAGAAGGCCAAAGATCGTAAATATCTCACGCAAACACTGCTCGCCACTGGTCCATCTATGGAGACGCGCGTACACAAAGCCGCGAAACGGCAACCGGGCGCCTCCGGTCGACTACATCGCACCGTCACCGGCGAATGGGTGTGGTCGAGTGAAGAGGAAGACAACGGCGGCAAGCATCACTCCTCAGACTCCGAATCTGACGATCGACCCATCAATCGTCTCGAACATGCCGACTCATCAGATAGCGAACATGATGACTACTCGGAGACTACAGCAACCGCAACGGAACCTGCACCGCAATCCGCAATCGTGAATGCACCAACAACAACAGCAGCTGTGAATATACCAACAACAGCAACAGCCGCTGTAAATATACCAACAACAGCAACAGCAGCGGTTAATATACCAACGCCTGCTGCAGCTTACGCACAGCCAGCAGATTCTGCGATAGCACAAGCCATGGCCGGAGTGGCGCAANCACAACAGCAGCTGTGAATATACCAACAACAGCAACAGCCGCTGTAAATATACCAACAATAGCAACAGCAGCGGTTAATATACCAACGCCTGCTGCAGCTTACACACAGCCAGCAGATTCTGCGATAGCACAAGCCATGGCCGGAGTGGCGCAAATGCCGATGCCCTCATCGTTGGTGCCAGATGTCGGTGAGGCACCGCCGGTCAATCTTGTGCTGCGCATGCGCAACCAGCGACGCGAATTACACGATATACGCTTTGAGTTTGCAGTAGGCAAAGACTCTGCCGAAGGCATTGCCATGGAGTTGGTCGACGCCGGACTCGTCGACGCGTTGGACACGCAACCAATGGCTGTGCATCTGCAACAACTGATTGACCAACGCGCCGCGCTCAAAACTATCACGTTCCAATTGAACTCTGGCGTGCAGCCGGGTGAAGTGCTCGACGATCGCTCACTGGTGGGGTATGCACAGATATCGATAACAGATTAGGAGGAACCGGTGGTGAACGAACCAGCGGAAAGTGACGTTAAAGACACAAAAAACTATTAGCGTGTACGTGGAGTTTGTTTCACTCTGCAGTTTAATGGGGTTAAATTTATATTTTTGTAATCACTTCAATAGTGGAGTAAACTGTAGTTTTAAATTAAAAAAAAATAAAAAATTTTAGACTTTTGCCAAACACTGAAAAGCCAGCGCATAGCGTAGGAAAATTAATAATTTTAAAATTTAAAATAAATTATATAACATTAAAAAATTTTGGGCATAAAACTATTCAGCTGATTAGTTAAGCGCTTTGTTTGCAAACAGAAAAATTGCGGGATAGGGATGCGCAAAGTAGTGAACACACAGAGTGAAGAAGAAAATTGAAAGTACTTACGATTACATGTTTGCGATACTTGTAATTATTTATTGTATTGTATTTTTTTTTTTAATTAGGGTAAAGCGCCGTTCTTATGCAGCCACCTAAAAGTAATTGGAGCTGGACAAAATACTAGCTGTAGCCTTTAAATGGTATAACTTTAATTAGAAGTTTAGTTTGCGGTAAAGCTTGGTAGAGCGTGCTTATTTGTATGTGTATGTATGCCACAAAAAAAAAAATAAATAAATAAAAGAAAATCTGTATTCACTCCGTTAAAAAGGTTTTTTAAAAATATATTGCAATGTTTTTTTTTCTTGGAAACCAGCGCCTCTCAAATGGAGTAAAAATTGCGCTGTTGCAAGTAAATGTACTACGTTTACAAAATTATAAGTAAGTTTAAAAAAAAAAATATTGTTAAATTACTGTTAGTTTGAAAATGTATTTAATGTAATAATTGTGAACGTAGCCTTAGTCATTTAGTGAGTTGTATGCGAACATTCATGATTTACAAATGTACATATATGTACATATGTACGTATGCATATGCTTATATGTACATACAACCATATGTTAATTAACAGTATAAAGTGGAATTAACTGCATAATATGCAAAGCAACGAAGGAAGATTCATAAATTGTAACAACTGTTATCAGCTGCAAGCCACATCCATACATAATGCTTTCACACGATGGCGCCTAAAAGCGTGCTATGTCAACAAGTTCGCGAAATGTAGAAGGACGGAAGGGAAGTGGCTTTATTTTGGGTATATTTTTGAAAGCTGTGTCAGCTGATGCATTAAAACCTAAAGAAGATAATTTTATTGATTTTCAAACACAAAGATTAAATAGTAGCTACGCCGAAAAATAAAGGAAAAGCCTTAAAAACGACAATTTTAAAAATCTTAAAAACCTTTTTTTAAAAAAATCATCAAATGCCCTACACATTAAATAGGGTGAAATAACAATAATTACTTACGATGCCTCAAAATTATTTATTTAAAATAAAAAAAAAAAAAATATCACATAAAATAAAATTTAAATATAGTCGCATGATACTTTTCAAAACAATAATTAAATTTAGTGTTTGTTTGTACTCACTCGTCTGAATGCAACATTTGAAAACTTGTAAGCATTGCAGCTCTGGCTAGCGAATCAATTATATGTACGTACATACATACATACATACAACAAACATATGTAGATATAGAGCAAGTGAACGTATGCAACTAATAATGAAATACATAATAAACTGCAAATGATTAAAAACTATTTAAATACAACAATTTAAGTATTAACAAAATAAATAAATTAAGATACACAAACAATTTTAAAATATCACTAAAAATAAAATATTATAAAACAAAAATACTTAAAAAATATACACACCCACAACATTTAGGCATTTTTGTTCCAATTAAAAATTGCAATAGGACTAGTAATTAGATATTATACAAATGCAACTACATACATACATATGTGCAAATATGTATGCATACACATATGTGCATATGTATTCCTCATAACACAGTCATGCATACATACATACATTCAGTTGCTGCAATTATAACCTAAAAAATGTTCAATAGTTTGTAAATAATTTTAGCGAACTCCGTTAAAAAAAAATAGATGCATAATATGCGCTTCGAAAACTATATTAAAAATTTATATTTAAAAAACGCATTACTTGTTTTTTGTTTAATTTTCACGTAATATTTTTTAATGTTTATATGCTGACCATGGCGCAATAAACAGGTGAAGTAATAAAACGGCTTTCTCACATTATTTTCAGACATTCGGCTGCCTTATAATCAAAATTTAATGGCAATTTTTCAAATAAGGCAGTGTCAAAATCTTTCTTCTCGCTCTAATTACTTCACCTGGTATAATTCCGCCATGTATGCTGACTACGCACGGAGCAACCGTTGCGACAACCAACATAGAGCGTGTTCGAATAGATCTCCAGTGAAAAATATCCAGCAGAAACTAGCAGGAGACTAACGAACGATTTTCTCTCAAATTTGAAAATATTCAAAAAAAAAAGTACGCGGACGCAAAATTAGAAAAAACCTGCAATGCAAGTTGTTAGTACAGTTGATTGAAATTTTGTTTAAGGCCAATATGCAGCTCTCAAGAAAACATTTTCGATCAAATTTTAAAAGCTGCCACTACATACACAAATAACATGTATCAAAATTTGTAATACGCGAAAAATTCAAGTATCGCCCGGAAATTTGCACAAACACACATCACTTTTGAATTATATTGATCAAAACGGCAACACTGCTCATGAGCTACTGAAATTTGATGCACCTCATAGTTGAGGCCGCTGTGGTGTAGTGGTAAGCAGTGCGCGCTTCCACTCCGCAGCACCTGGGTTCAAGCACTGGTCAAAGCAACATCGCAAAAAAAAACAAAATAGAAAAAAGGTTGTTTCTTAACAGCGGTCGTCCATCGGCAGGCAATGGCAAACCTCGCGAGTGCATTTCTGCCATGAAAAACAGCTTCTCAGAAAAATACAATCGCCGTTCGGAGTCGGCGTAAACTGTAGGTCCCTCCACTTTATGTGAAAACATCAAGGCGCATGCCACAAATCGGAGTAGAAGCTCGGCCAAACACTAACATATGTGTAAGCGCCAATCTATTATTATTATTATTATTATAGTTATCAAAAATTTACTCGCCGCGAACTTTGCTACCGATTCCCACATGCTCTTTATATAAATTCACGAATATTAAAAAATCAAATAAAAATTCATCAAAATTAAAATTTTTTTTATTCAGAATTTTTAGAAAACTTTGTTGCAGTTTCAGAACAACAAAATGTAAGTTTCAAGTCGCTAAAACTAACATTTTTTTTTATAAGTACTATCGTTGGCTGAGTTGAAGATCGACCTATCTCGGCAGCCAGTTCAAAAATACTCTATCTCAGAAAACTTTTCAAGAACATCCTACTTCAGAATTTGATTGAAGAACGCCCTACTTCAGAATTTTATTGAAAAACGCCCAATCTCAAAATTTGGTTGAAGACTGCAGAGTTCGTTTAAAAAATGTCCTAAAATATATTGAAAATGTGCTGAGATAGGGCGTTTTTGAACTGAATTCTGAGATAGGGCGCTGTTGGGAAATTTCTGAGATAGAGCGTTATCGAACTGGCTGCCGAGATAGATCGATCTTCCACTCAGCCATCGATATATGTTTTATGAGCTATATTTTCTTAAAAACTTAATGAAGACAGTGTTTCAAATTTCCAATGTTGTTTTTCAAGTGTACCTCAATTGGAAAACCACCCATTCATTCTCAAACAAAAGGGAACATATTTTGTATGCAAAAAAATTTGTCAAACTGTGTGGAAAAATGGTTAAGAAAAATTTTATACATTCACTTGCCAATCAAGAGTTTTTCTGCTAACACCAGGCGCCTAAATACATGCTATGTACTGCTGCACGCGCAAAAATTTCCTTTATACAATTTATGAAATTCTCAACTGCCATGTAATTGAACTTTCTTAAGTTATAATTAAATTGCACTTCAAAGTATGCTCGGCCTAGTCTGATGGCCCCGTCAGAATGGGTACTTTGCGTACGTTCCGCCCAAGGATGAAACTAAAGGCCGGTCCACATAGAACTTTCGCGTTGGCTTTGGCTTTGGCGTTAGTTTGACAGAACGCACGTTAAAAGTATGCTTGCTACAATCAACGCTTGGCAGCGAATGCTTTGAGCACTAGATTTAAATACTAACGACAGATAAATTAATATTTCATATCAATAATTGCATGAAACTTGATATTTCTTACCTACATTTGATTAAAAATTAAAAATATTTCACATAATTTTATTTATTTGCAACAGCTGATTGACAACGCGCGCAAAAAGATGAGAGATGCCCATCTTTTTGTGGGCGTTAGCTTTGGCGTTGGCGTTGCCGTTGATATGTGGACATGTCCATATAATTGTGTGTATTCATAGTCAGCTGTTAATCAACGCCAACGCCAAAGCCAACGCCAAAGTTCTATGTGGACCGGCCTTAACAGTTGAGTAGAGAGCGTCAGATTGGTAACCCTTGCGTCGACGGATCCAACGAACGTTGGCCAACACTCAACTTTTGACGCACGTAAGTCCGTCACTACTGACAGTTGTATAACCCCGCGTTTACACAAGGTAAGACCAATGAGAATATGCACATAATTTACACATTGTTTGAGTAATGTAGGCATCCAGACCAGTGTTGATATTTTAAGTATAATTGTACTTTTTACAGTACAATTAGTTTTAAAAAGTACAAAAGTACAGTTTACCGATTTTAAGTACAATTTCAACATCAAAAATACTTTTTGTACAAAACGCTGCAATCTCTGTCACTTTGATTATTAATCCGTTTGCGTTTAAGAAAATGGACATACCTACATTTCATATTTGGTACAAAACGAAGTTCTGAATTGTAATTTTGAAAGTAAACGTGATTGTGAATGGTAATATTAGCGTTGAGCGTTGTGGTTATTGCGATTCTTTTTATCATCTTTGGAGATGCAGTTTACCTAATGACGATCCTGCCGAAAATGAAGGAATTGAATAACTCTACTCTCTAAAAATATCTACAGTGGACTTCCATTTAAGTGTTACTGATCTCATTTTATGTGATTTATTTTCCCTAATATAAACTGATCTATCTTCTGTATTTATTTTTTGTCGTTATTGTCTTCATATTTGAATATAGTTTCAAACATTTTTCAAAGACAGTAAATTGTACAATTCGGCAATGTTGCGTTATAGTGGCGAAAAAGTGGCAAAACATAATCGGAAAACCCCCCACACAATTAAGAAAAATTTGTTCTTGTTTGGATATGGAGAGAGCAAATAATGCAAAAGCCTACTTTACGCAACAATTTGGCAACACTCTCGACGAAAAGAAATTCTAAAAAATCAAGGGTAATTTTTAGTGACTTGAAACTTTTTTTACTAAACTTGAATGGGCTACACAACTGCATATTCAAAAACGTTTGAGGAAACCTTGAAACTTTTATTTATGTGGTTTATGTTACAGATTGATATTTAAAAGGAAAGTTACAAAAAAAATTAAAATAAGCATATATAAAATACTATTTTGTTGATCGCTGCTGTACATATCGTCGCCTGGATAAAAGATTGCCGTATGTTACTTTCGGCGCGTTTTGGGAAATTATTGTTAAAAATTTGGTCACAATTTCTCAAAAGCTGTACAATCGTTTTTTTTTTACGAAAATTTAATGCTTAATTTTACTAAACATTTGAAGTATAAAATACCTACTATTTTCTTACATCTTTTTAGGTTCAGAATAAAAAGCTGGAAATTTTAATACAAATTTTATGAATTTTCCTACATCTTGTATAAAGTTTGACAGTCTGATTTATATGGTTTTGGCTAAAGCTTGGACGATGGTTTTGTAGAAAAATAACAAAACAAAAAAAATACTTGAAAAACGATGTGAATAGTGTTGCAAGGCTCGAACCTTCTGGTTTGGCGACATTTTACAAATGAAAAAGTGTACTACCAAATTCCCATTCAACCAAACTCGTATCTCGCTTGCGAGATTTTCAAGCATGTGAAGACGGCCGGTAAACGTTTTAAATTGATATCTCGGTTTTGAAAATCGCACGAACGATACAGATCGGTTAAATATTTAACGTAAACATCTCCGAACTCGATTAAGTAGTGTCAATTCACAAAACGGTTTTTTGTCAATAAAAGTTGCCAAAGCACATTAAACATTCTATTGCGAATAATGGTATGATTTTGTCGTATGCAGCTTACAATTTTTTAAGACAATATTTTAACTAGTAGTACAATTCATCAAACTGTATGAACGCGCTTACGACAGTCTTTTACCCAGGCGACGATGTGTATATGTATATACATACATACATACATACACACTAATGTAACTTACCACGAAGACTACATCGAAAGACACTAGTAAGACAAGTTCTTTGATTAAAGAGTAAATACGACTTTAGATTTCAGAAAGGAAAAAATCCCAAAATATACTTAAATATGTACATTACGCGTAGGCTACGTAAATCTATCCATACACAAATGAATACGTGCATAGTGTGCGAATATGTACGCGTCTACATTGTTTGCCTTAGGGAAGAATTGAAAACAAAATATTGAAATTATAAAATATTTAAGTATAGCATAAAACCCTAGACTTGTAAAGTTTTCATAGAAGCGCATGCAAAAACTATAGTTTTTAGTTTGTTTCAAAACTAAAATTAAAAAACAAAAAAAAAAACTAAAAACTGACTTCAGAGCAAATATTTGTAAACAAACAATAAATATTTTTGAGTTAAAAAATTTTAACTTAAAACTTTGCGAACTTCATTTCATGTCTATAATGCACTTTTTTTCCTTTATTTTGGCAAAGCTGTGATTCTGTACAAAGTCTTAACGATAATATTTTAAACTTTTTCTACTTGCTGCTAACTAAATATTTAATATTTTCCTTTTAAAATAAATCTAATGCGAAAATTTTGCTCAAATTTTCAGGATAGAATCTATCATCAGCAAGTATGTATTTATTCAAACTTACAAATATACGTAAAATTGTATTTAATTAAAAATTAAAAACTAAATAAAATTTATGAAAATCTAAAAAAAAATAGAAAGCCTGATATGTATACCATATGATAAATAAAAGGGTGGCGTTCACAATGGAATTGTAATAACGTAATGTATTTAAAATCATATATTTAAACAGCTGCGAATTTTGAAATATGTAGCATGTGTATGTAAGCTTTTTTTCGCAACGTTCAATTGTAATTTTTGGCGTTATAAACGATTTACATAATTTATTAAAAAAAAAAAAAACAAAATAAAAAAATTTGAATAAAGCTAAATGATCTGAAGTTACACTCAAACTATTGTGTTTTTACCCATAAATTACGAGTACCAAAATTGCCCAACCCAAGGCGAATTCATACAATGTGCTAGCGGCAGCACAAAAACAAAAAACTACACTAACAGATTATTCACACGACGTCAATCAGAATACAAAAAATATACAACAAATACATGAATTTGTGAATCCGCATAATTCGCCTTGAAATCAGCTGCTCCGGTAACTCCACCTTGTATGATCTCGCCTTGGTACAATAACTCGTTTTGGAAGCACCATTTTCATTATTATTTCCCCTTCTCCCCTCTCTTTCCATACAATTCCAGCAGTGAAATGGCCGACTATTTCGAAGACATGGGTCACGAGCCGACAGGCGCCGAGGGTCCTAATGATTTTGCCAAACATTTCAAGCGCCTGCAAGTGTTGGCCATCATGAACGGCATCGACATGGAAATCGAGGTGCCCGAGGCGTCTAAGCGCGCCATTGCCGCACTGCCGGACCATATCATTACCGCAGCAGATGTGGCGCAGGAACTGGAGTGCGCGGTTTGCAAGCAGCCAGCAGAGGTCGATGAGAAGTACAAAATTTTGCCATGCAAGCACGAGTTTCACGAGGAGTGTGTGCTACTGTGGCTGAAAAAGGTACATTTGTTAGATGATTTGCGGTGGTGATGCGTAAGTGAAGTAAGTCTTTGATTTTTATTTTGTTTCGCTTGCAAATTTCAGGCCAACTCATGTCCAATGTGCCGTTACGAATTGGAAACCGATGATCCAGTCTATGAAGAGTTACGCGAGTTTCGCCAAGATGAAACCAATCGTCGCGCTCGACAAGACTACATGATGGACTCAATGTTTTCCTAAATAAATTTAATCTTAATTTTAGTATTATTGAAATGGTGGCGGTGGGGAAAAGGAATAGATTTTCGGCGGACAAGGTTTCGAAATAAATAGCGTTTGAAAAGAAGGGAAGTTGTTTTTTATGAAAAAAGGCAGGTTTTCGATTGGAAGTCACAAATAATTTATATTGCATGGAAATAAAATAATAAGATAATTATATGGTATGTGTCCTAAGGTTAAATCACAAATGGAAGGACCGACCATATGCCATAAAAAACTTCTAATTTAGATGTTGCTCGGACCAGGGATCGAACTCAGACCCGATGGATTGGTAGTACGAAACTCTAACCACTCGGCAACAGCTGCCGATAAAATTGGATTTTTAAATTTTTTGGTCGTATTTAAATTTAAATCTTATAAATAAAAAAAAATCGTTAAATGTACATACATACCAATTTTTTTTTTTGTCTATCTGGATTATTGTATACTTTAGTTGCGTTCGATAACAAAATTAGCCAACACCAGCCAACAATCAAAATCAAGAGAGTAAGCGAAAATTCTCTCCCGAAGAGATGAAAAAGCAAAAAAGTAAACGAACAGGAAATTAGCCATTACTTGCAAAAACCGGAAGAAGAAGACACACCAGCTGACTTTGTTTATGTTTTATTTGTAAACAAACTGAAATTCATGTTGCCTCCATAGAAAAAAAAGGAAAATGAACGTTCAATGTTCGCCGGGAACATTTCTAGAAGTAAAAACTAGTTGGCGCTATCATAAAGTCACATATCAAGCAGCCAGAAAGCATATAAATACCAAAACTCGGAAAATGCAATTTTGTTTATTTACAAAAATTGCAACCATATGTTTTGTGTTCATATGTTTTCGTGTTGGATAATTTTTGCTGACTAAAATTTTGCCAGTACAAAATGAACGCTTCTCTTGCATCAAAAATGAACGCTTGCTCTCTCAACTTTTGTGTGTTGGATAATAGGTGCGTTCGTTTAAAATCTCCAACAGAAACCAACCAACTGCCAAATTCCGGCGAAATGTCATCTGTTCGCTCACAAGAGAGAAATATCCAAAATAGTACGCGAACAGAAAATTTGCAGAAACTTGCAAGTTAGACGAACAGCTGATATAATTTTTGTTTACATTCAAAAGTGTAAAATTTAAAACGTTCGAAAACTCATTACAAAGTGGTATCCTGGCACAGTTTATTGATTAAACAAATAACTACTTACTTCTTACAAATTTAATTAGTCGCAATTTTGTAATTTTTAACTTCCAAACCATCAAATTCAATTTTGTGATTTGCGTAAATGCCAACCAGCTGTTTTTGATCAGCTGTTTTCCTGTTGGCAAATTGCTGTTGGCAAAAATTTTTCCATCAGAAGCCAGCAGCTTCCCCTCAAAATGATATGTCACTTTGCTCTCTCAATTTCCCCTACTTTGCAAGTTTCTTGCGTACGCGAACGCAAAAACTTGTAAGTTTTGGTTAAACATGAACAATTAACAGCTACGCGAACGAACCTAATATTTTGCCGTTATCGAACGCCATCCAGTAAAAATTTGGAAAACTATTACAAATTTTTGACTTGTCGAACGCACCTTGTGCCATATTATACATATATATCTGTGTTCGTATGGAGAAGTAGCTTATGTCGAAAGCTGGCTTTAGTATAATGCGGCATTCCCTTTATTCTTTAACCGACATTTTTAATTTTTTTTTTTTATGAGAATTAATAAAAATTTGACTTGCTAGTATCGGAACTATTTTTTGCACGTTTATTTGCCAAAATTTGTTCAACAGCTTAGCGCCAGTTAGTCATTCGGAATCGTATGCTGCGAATGCCGATTTATACTAAAGCCAGCCTTCGACATAAGCTATTACTTTTCCCAACGAACACAGATGTGTATATGTTTTTATCATGCATAGTACATATATACCCTGCAAAAATCGCGACNCTATTTTTTGCACGTTTATTTGCCAAAATTTGTTCAACAGCTTAGCGCCAGTTAGTCATTCGGAATCGTATGCTGCGAATGCCGATTTATACTAAAGCCAGC